TCCCTCCCTCCCTCCCTCCCTCCCTCCCTCCCTCCCTTCCTTCCTTCCTTCCTTCCTTCCCTCCCTCTCTTTCTTCCTTCCTTTTTTCTTTCTTTCTTTTCTTCCTGATACAGTCTTGCTAGGTAGTTCTGGCTGGGATAGAACTTGCCATGTAGCTGTTATGAATTTACAATAATCCTCCTTGCCTCTGCCTCAAGAGTCCTGGGATTGTGAGTGTGCTACCAGATCCAGATGATCTATGACTGTCTTTTGTTCTGACTATGGAAGTTTATGTAACTGCTTCCATGTTAAGACATGTTATTCAGTGGTGCACACCTTTGATTCCAGCACTTGGAAGGCAGAGTCAGGCAAATCAGGCACTAAGTTCAAGGCCAGCCTGGTTCAGGATGGCCAGGGCTACACAGAGAAATCCTGTCTTCGAAAGCAAGCAAACAAACATTCTGAAGCAGTCAGAATGTGTGCTTCGAGGCCATAGCTATTCTCATCTGTCACAGAGTAAATCTCTTGTTCCCTTTGGCAACAGTGTTTTTACACTACATAGACCATACATGGAATTAGAAATAGGAATGTGTTCCCTCACCCACCCAATGGGTTAAGTTCTCTCCAGGTTTCCTATCTTCTCACACTATCTTAGTTCTAATATTGCTGTGATGAAATATCATGATCAAAAGCATCATGGGAAAAAAGGGTTTACTTGGATTACATACACTGAATCACAGTCCACCGAGTGACGTAATGCAGGAATTCAAACCAGGTAGGAACCTGGAGGCAGGAGCTGATGCACAGGCCATAGAGGGTGCTGCTTACTGGCTTGCTCTCTCTATGGCTTGCTCGACCTGCTTTCTTATAGAGCCCAGGTCCATTTGCCAGGGATGACACCACCCACAGCTGGCTGGACCCTCTCCATCAATCACTAATTAAGAATGTGACCAACAAGCTTACCTACAGCCCAATCTAGCATTTTGTTAATGGAGGGTCCCTCCTCTCAGGTGACTTTAGCTAGTGTCAAGTTGACATAAAAGTAGCCAAGGACACAGCTTACCTCTGAAGCTGGAGTAAAACCAAATTAGTATGGAGGCTGCTGGACATCACTCACAGTATCTGTATCATTCTAAACTTCCTACACCCTTCCCTCCACAGATTCCTCCATGCTCTCTTTCACTCAAGGAACTTCGGGAAACTGCACATTCCAAACACCTCTGGTTTTGCCCAAGTTCTCCCCTCCTTTGGAAATGCCCCATTCCTTCACCCTTCACTGATCAGAAGCCTTTCCTTTTCTCATTTCTGTAATGCTTTGGACACACAGCAACTGCTGCATGAATCACACTGCCCTGTTTCCTTGGAAGTCTCTCTACTAGGTTATAGGAACCTTGAGGTTAAAGGAACAACCACACACTGACTCCCTCTTGGGTAAGCTTTTCCTTAATTGCTGACCACTAGCTAGCCGTGGTACATACCCACACTCCCAGCACTGAAAAGCAGAGGAAGGAAGATCTCTAGTTGGAAGCCAGCCAGAGCTACACAGCAAGACTTCCCCTTTAAAAAAAAAGTAAATACAATTCTTAAAAGTTGACTCCTAGCCGGGCAGTGGTGGTGCACGCCTTTAATCCCACCATTTGGGAGGCAGAGACAGGAGGATTTCTGAGTTCGTTTCGAGGCCAGCCTGGTCTACAGAGTGAGTTCCAGGACAGCCAGGACTACACAGAGAAACCCTGTCTCGAAAAGACCAAAATGAAAAAAAAAAAAAAGTTGACTACCTGGCAGCCCCTCCACCACCAGGTAAAGAGTATGAACCACTCCTACCAGGGTTTAAACTACCTTAATCTCTACGTCCACGCAGGTCCACGTCTACCCCACCGATGTCAAGCTCAGCCTCAGGACAGGGTCCTTTCACTACTGGCTCTCTTTGCCTTCAAATTACCCATCCAGGAGTTTCAGACAATTTCCCCCTGGCCAAACCCTGAATACTCCCTCCCAAATATCCAAGGTCTTGAGTCAAGTCGGCCAGTTTCCCAGCCATTGTCTCTCACAAGGGGCCTTGACGTGTTCTGGTCATGATATTCCACCTCAGACACGGTTTTCTGGCTTCTGTGTCTTTGCTAATAATGAGATGCCTAGAAATCTTCTGGGCTTTTCAAAGTCCACCCTCAGTGCTGTCTCCTCCAGCACACACCACTGGGCAGCTGATACCTTTCTCCAGCCTCTGAAGACACTGTCGCTCTCAAACAGTATCTCCCACTGCCTCCCTCTCATTACTGGAGGCCTGGCTGAGCCATAGGCCAATCTCACAGCTGTAACAGAAAACTCCATTCTGAGAGCCAGAGCAGTGTCCGCCCAGTCTCCCCCCACACCAGCAGCACACACACTCCCACGCCCCCCAGTGCTCCCCACACACACCAGCAGCACAACACTCCCAGTTTCTTTTGTTGGCACCAGGATTGAAGCTTCAAAGCACTGTACCACTGAGCTGGACCCTGGACCCCATATTTTCTGAGAGGTTAGAGAGGTAGGTTTAAGACTTTTCTTGGACTGGGGGGTATAGCTCCACAGACCAGAAGTGATTATCTAGCATGTGCAAGGCTCTGGGTTTGACCCCTAGCACTACCAAAAAGAAAACCTTTGGTTTGTGAGGCTGGGTTCCTCTGTGTAGCCCAGGCTTGCCTCAAACCACCACCTTCATGCCTCAGCCTCCAGAGTTCTGGGACTACGGTACGTTCCACCATGACCATCTGGCTAAACTTTTCTTTGTTGTATTTGCCCTTCAATGCCATTTCTCCTTATACCAAGTTAATAGTTTCCTTCCAGCCCCCCCCCCCCCGCCAAAAAAGTTAAAAGTAAATCAAATTGCCCTTGAGTGTTGCAGTCAACTCTTACCATGAATCTCAAGGGAAAGGAGAAAGGATTTCTTTTAAGTGGGAAGGTTACATTATGAATAATAACACATGTTAAGATAACCTGACAGGTGACGTTACTATTACCAATATACCATATGCCACACCCTTCCCATCAGCTGTGCTAAGCTATGTGGTACTGACAGATGAACCAGAGAGAACCGGGGTGGGAGGACTGGTGGAGGTAAGGCTTTTCTGTAAACTGAGGGAAGCATCTTCTACCTCTTGGGTGTCCTCAAAAAAAGTGGCAGCAGGAAGAGTCCAGCACACGGCCAGGGCAAGAAAGAGTAGCCCACTGTGGAAGTCTAAGACAGCGGCTACCACAGCCATTAGAAAACAAGATGCCTGTGACCTAGGGGCAGAAGGACCACTGATCCAAGGCCAGCCAGTCACCACAGCAAGCTTGTCTCTTACAGTTCTGAGAGTTCAGACTGACAGGATGCCCCTACCAGGTTCCAGGCTGCTGGAAGGAGCTCCTGAAAGAGGATAACTCTGACTAGAGAGTGAACCAGGAGCCCAGGAGCAGGGAATTAAAAGCAACCAAGCTGGAAGGGACACCACCAGAAACAAAGGTCTTAACCAAAGCAAAGGCCAGGGAGAGGAGAGGGATGGGTGCCTGGTGAACACTTACAAGTGACAAGCCTCAGGCATGTTTTAGCCCTGTGTAGTAAAAGAGTGGGTGCACAGGGGAACCAACTTGAACCGACACCAATGGGTTCAGCCCACACGGTGAAGAAATCACAGATGGTGCCTTATAGCCTACACATGGTAAACACAAGCGTTTGTTTGTTTTTTAAAATTCAATCTAACTACATCTGGAGCTACAGCTCAAGAGTAATGTAAAATTTGTGATAATAAAAAAAAAAGTCTCCCCAGAGCTGAAGTGTTTAACAAGCATCGCCAGGGCTGGAGAGATGGCTCAGCGGTTTAAAGCACTGACTGCCCTTCCAGAGGTCCTGAATTCAATTCCCAGCAACCACATGGTGGCTCACAACCATCAATAATGGGATCCGACGACACCTTCTTCTGATGTGTCTGAAGACAGCTACAGTGTACTCACACACATATATAAATAAATATTAAAAAAAAAAAAACACTGTCCATGTGGATTCTAGAAACAGATACCTTATCCACAAATTTTGGTGCCTTATAGGTGGGAAACTTTGGAGAAAGGTGGGTAGAAGGTGTCCAGGAGGCCCAAAACAGAGGGCTTTGAGACATCGGTGACTTCAAACCCAGAGGAGCACAAAGGAGCTTTCTCCTAAGTTTCCAGATATGACCCTCCAAATACCACATGAGGAAACATGACCTTATCCTTCAACTTCCTACTCCTCTCCTGTACCTTCAGCCTAATGCTAATACACCTTCAGCCTTCTCCCGCCCACGTCTTGTAGGACTCTCTTGCATAGAAACAATTACATTGCTGTTTCTCTAGGCAATCATGTCGACTACCTGGCTATTTCACTGACTCAATGAGATTTTGGAGGCATTAAAGCAACTTCGCGGTCAAATTTTGCTGTCTTCTGATGAGGGGGAGGGGCTGATGGCGGTGTTGAATCTGAAATACTGATTATACACAAGGTGAGTCACCGCCTAGTTTCAGTTTCTCCAGTTGTTCATTTAATAGAAGGAACAAGCCCTACCAAAGCGTATTCGCCGGATTTTTAAAGCCTGCGTATTCCTTTTGTGGTACTCGGCGGAATGTCAGATGTGTAACAACCATCATACAATCGTAGAACACCAACACTACAGGAATAATATTTTTAACGCAGCTACTAAATATCCTACCTCTGAAGCGTCACCCTTATGCTTTCCCCTCCTAATTTCCTAGAGGTTCAGGCCTACGATTCCCAAAGGATTTAGAAGCCCTGTAGTGGCGGCCTGGAGAGTGAAAACCAACCACGAGCATCGAGCCTTGCGCACATCGAAGGGACTGGCGGACAGACCGCGAGCCCGCCTGCTCCGGGGCCTGATGGCTCTGCGTTCTGCGCACTTCGCGAGGGACAGTAACGGGGATGCTCTCGCAGCGCCCTTTACAAATAGGGACACTGAGGCTCCCACAACGATCCCGCTAAGCCCCGTGGCCCGTGCGAGCCAGGCCGGACTCACCTTGGCGCTGTGCACCGCCTCCTGGGCGCCGCGGAGCTGCAGCCAGATGCGCGCGGGCAGCGGCTCCTCTGCCCCGAGGGCGCCGAGCACCGCCAGGCCCACGCCGAACAGAGCCTCGATGCGCCCGCGGCTCCGCTCCAGCAGGGCCGCCTTCTCGGCGGGCGCCGTGAACTCGTCCAGCACTACCCGGGCCGCCATGGCGGGCGCGGCCTCCCGGGGCGCCGGGGGCCAGCGGCGGCGACGCCCCCTCAGCGTGCCGCCGCTGCACAGAGCCGCTCAGGAGGCGTGGGCCGTGCCGGCCTCCTCGCCCGCCCGCAGGCCCGGCTACACCATCACGACACGGCCGCTGCAGCTTAGCAACTGCAGGCAGAGACTCCCCGCCGCCCCGCTGTCCCGATGCCCCGCCGCCGCCGCCACAGCCGCCACGCATGCGCTCAGTCCGCCGCCGTCATTGAAGCTCGCCGCCCCGTCGCGAAGGGTGCGTTGGTAGGCTGAGGGCGACGGAAGTCGACGCCACACGCTGTCACCATGTTGATTGTGGGCAAGCGTCGGCGGCCGAGACCTGGGTGGCCATATTTGATGAGGGCCTGATGCCTTTTGGCATCTGTAGATGGAAGTTTCTGCTTTTACTTTGATAGGCAAATGGTGATTCTTTTCCTTCTTTTTACTTCCTTCCCTTCTCCCTTTTACTTATTTGAGAGAAAAAAATTGTAACAGGAAAAGAAAATGGGACTACCAGCAGAGGATTGAAAGGCTAAATTGCTGGTCTAGTGTCAATTACTGTAACCCCAGTGGGGTGGGAGAATGAGGTAGGCAGATAGTCATCCGCTGAAGGCAAGCCTGAGGTACATAGTTCCAGACCAGCATGGACAGTCTGATTTCTTTTCTTTCTTCTATGGACTCTCCAAATGCTTCTCACCCACAAAGGACAAACAAACAAATACCACCCAAAACAAACAATCAAACAAAAAACCCAAAGACCTTCTCCTAATGGAGTATCCAGGTGGGCAGTTTCTTTACTGTACCCCTGGCATACAGGAAAGGTAAAAGGTAATTTCAACAGGGTTATTTGTGTTATCTGAAAGGCACAAAGAATAGAGTTCATACTGTGGGACTAGGGCAAAGAAACCCAAATCCTTCTTCAGGTCTGTTTTTCTATCTGTTAAGTCAGAGGCACCACTTGACTCCAATGCTTCCCAGACATAAGTTTTCTTGAATCCTTAAAAACAAACTGTGAAAGATAAAGTGTTGGTTTCTGTAGTTGGTTTTTGCTACTCTATGAGTTCTTCTTTTTCCCACACTTTATCTCCCGTTTCACTCCCTAGCACTAGGTAGGAAAGAAGGAGAGAGGAGAGAGGAGAGAGGAGAGAGGAGAGAGGAGAGAGGAGAGAGGAGAGAGAT